AGGGTGTATTGGGAATCTGCCCTGTGGCAGTCTACTTTCTGCCTCTGTCACCTTCCTTTATGAATATACATCAGCTCCAAATGCCCACCTACAAGTCAAAGAGAAGCAGATATATGGACCTTGCAGTGCATACTATTACTGTGAGCAATTGTACTGATAGACCCATTGCCTGCCAGAGATGCATCCATTACACTATACCGGCCATAATGCAGGGAAAATACAGGTTGTTGGAAAGTTTTACTAGCTGTTGTTTCCATATGTTTCTCCAAAGGAAGAGACACTGTAATGTGTGAAAATATAATTAGGAACAAATGCTGACTAGTTGCAGGTTGGAGTGGGAAGGGGGAAGATTTATTTTGGCTGCTGCTGAGAACTTTCCTTTTAAAATTTCTAATTGGTCCTAAAAGTCAGAGCAGATGCATTTGCTTTGTGAAGAAAAGTGTTTGAATTGATGATGATTCTCAGAAGCTCTGAAATCAGTACTGATTTGAATTTAGCAAGGTAGGATGTAAGAACATGGAAATTATTTCTTACTGTTAAACTCTTTCAGATAATCTGAGAGGTAGTGACTTATTCCTGCAAGACAGTGACCCAACATAAAGAAAAATAAGATTATAGGTGATGATGTGTGTATGATAAAGCTATGCTGCTAAAAAGCAGGAATGTTATTTCAGTAATAGTGCAATCTTACTACCAAATTGTAAAGATTAAAGATTACTATCATACTGTCTTCCAGTTGTCTTGGAATTCACAGCTAATTAGTGTTTAGATAGGTGTTACCACTTAGGATTAAAAAGCACATAAAACATTTTCTGTGACCTTAACCAATGCTATATAAAATGGAATCAGATCACGGATGCTATTAATTCTGAAATGACTGAAAACAAGAGAGCAGTGCCCACACTTAGAGATACTGCAGAGGATGAAATTACTAAATTGGAGCGAAATGGATTAAAGGTTTGACTTCTGACCACAAACTACTCAATAATTAGATAGTGGAGACAAATTTTGACAGATCATGAATGGAGGTAGATTTGGAAAATATGTGAAGGAAGAAGAAAACCTTAATTTTACTAAAGCTTCAAGTGTATAATTGATTCTGTATTATATTCCATATTGTGTCTAGTTTATTACCTGTAGTTTGCAAAAGAGGCACAGTATTGATGGTGGAGAATGTCACGTGATAATTCCCATTGTGTTCCCAAAAGAGCACAAGTGAGAGCATAAGAGAGGTAGCATGAGATCACGCATGTTTGTATTTGCTTTGTGAAATGGCACTGTTTGCTATATCCATCTCTGGGTACTGCCAAGTGTCAACAGCAGTAATGTACAACTCTGTTCACTTCTGTATGACTGAGATGTAGGAAATGGGAGCAAAATTGTCTTTCCTGAAGTATCTTTTATTCCAGTGAAACTTCACCAAAATAGCTTAGTATGACATGGCTGTTGTCCTAAAATAACATTAGTAACTCAAAGATTTAACTCAAATATTCTTACTCAAGTGTGTAAATCATTACAGCAGCTAATTCCCTCAGTAGAGAGGGCTATAGGGAGAATGATGCTGTGTGCAATTCATGCCAAAGACAGGGTGATACTTACAAAATTATACTCTATAAATAACATTTCCGTATATAATTATGCATGTTCTGCATATGCTGTTACGTGTTTTTTCCACTCAGAACTGCAGTGAAAGGGAAAGATGAGGAGTGGTACTTCATCAGCAGCTCTGGCTGAAGGGATTTTGCTGAGGGGTGCTGCTGCAGGCACGACTTTTCTATGGCTCCTGGGAAAGCTCCCTCTGAAGCTGCTCTGACACCACCTTTTAGAGATGTACTCTGCATCTTCTACAGAAATAGTATGCAAAAAAAGCCTATGAATTAGGGGAGCTGTCTGTAACCTATTTTAAGCTACACGCAGGAAGTATCTGGATTGCCTTTAACACAGGTGCAGAACTGGAGGTATAGAGCTTGTTCAACCCGTGTCCCTTCCTTTCACACAACCTAAAGGAAAACCAGAATCTAAACATGGTAGAAGTATTTTTATATCCACTAAAAATTCCTGTTTCCTCCAGGTATGTTTTGATTACTTGATGCTCCTTCTAAATATACTCTGAGTATTATAATGTACTGATGTATACACAAATATATATATATAGATAAGCATACCATGTATTAAATAAGCATTTGCATCATCTAAAACGTAACTCACAGTTTCATTGGGCATTTCTGAAGGTGAAAGAAATTCTGTATCTAACCAAAACTGAAAATGGAAACTAGAAAGGTAACCAAAAAAAAAAAAAAAAAAAAAAAGTACTATTACCATTCCTCAGTTATCATTTTGGCCAAGAAAAACTGAAGAAGTAGTTAGATCTAGCAACAAAGTTATCCTGAATAAATGCATGCTATCTGCACATCTTGCACAGCAAGCTATGATAAAAGAGCATGAAGGCTTTGGACCCTAAGCTCTCTAAAGTTAGGAAGTGCCAGAAAAAATTACACAGGCAATTTTCTTTTTTCCCCTTTGCACAGGCATGTTGTGATACAGCCTCTAGTTCCCCTCCTAGTTTTGCTCCAAATAATTTCTACCTTAATCTCTGCAATGAGGAAAAGAGATGATTGCTCAAGAGCTGCTCCTCAGCAGCTTTGTCCTGTTTCTTTAACCTTCAGCCTTTGGCCTGGTTTAGTGGCACTGCAATGAGGGGACAGTCGTCCAAGGCTCCCTCTGGAGTCAGTGGGGAGATACTAGCACTTCCTCGGGGGTTTTCAGTTCAGTGTAAAGTCTGAATTACTTCTTGGAAGTGTTTCTGTCCTTTCTGCAGGAGGGAGCCAGTGGTGAATAATTGCCTATATCATGCACTTTGAGTATTTAAGTAGGTGAAATAAAGCTGGCCCATAAGCCTTGTTCTGCTCCTCTTCTCAAAGCAAAGATTAATTTCCATGTGGGATTGGCCATGATACACACAGCTTCGGAGCCTGAAAGCTTCACAGTTTATGTTTTTTCAAGACCCTCTAAAATGAGGGGATAACACAACTCCAATTTGCTGAGAGCTGAGGCCCTCAGTCTGCTACTTCTGCTAAAATCTGCTGGTTTTGATTTCAAATGTGCATTATATGTTGATTAAAAGGGAGCTGTCATTGCCTTTGGTTGTAGCTCTGTGTAGATGTACCAGCACGCAGAGCTCAGGACAGGCCCAGGGAAATGCACCTTGTAAGTCTTGTGCAGGGCCTTGTGTAGGTGACCAGGCTGGGACCTTGCAGGATGCTCTCAGCTGGAGAGGGCAGAGTGTCCTCCTCCACAGCTGCATTCAGTCATCTTGTCTGCACAGATATCTTCTCCTTCCCTCGCCTCATTCATCAGTTGAGCTTACAATTTCCATTAGTCCAGGTGCTCCTGCCCCAGGTCTCCTTTCCTCTAGGCCCTCTTCACTTCCCTCAGTCACATCAGTCTGGATTTTCATTCCCCTGAGCCACATCAGGGACCTTCCCTTCACTTGGCTACCTCATCCCTGTGCAAAGGGCTCTTGAGAATAGCTCTTAATGAGAATCTCCATTAGGAAGCCATCTTGGCAGTGAGGAACCATCTTGGCTCCTCTTTGAAGCTACATCTGCAGGGTAGCACCGCGGCCACTGTGGTGGGACTTCTGGTTCAGATAAATTACCTTCCACTTGCAGCAGTTTTTCTTGCAGCCTTTTGGCTTTGCTTGTAGGTTTCTCATCCAAAGAAAATCCTGACTTCATTAAAACATTGGTCCTGTGGGCTTTTGTGTCATGCTGTGAGTGCTATTACTTACGCTTACCTTAGGGAAAAAAGCATGCCAGCCTCCAAAGTTCAGAGGTAGAATCAAGCATGACTGCCAACTTTCCTACGCTTCAGGTTTTCCATACTGAAATCTCCACTCGAGTCTGAATGTTTTGAAAATTTAGAGGCCAGAATGTCTGGCGACCACTTCTGGATTTTAATTTAATCTCACTGCATTTAGAGTCACAGGCACAGACTTTGGTCTGATTAGACTGAGTTTATATATAGCCCCAGTAAACAGTGGTCATTTTATTTTAGCTAGGAATGGTTTGGATCATTCACCCTAAGAATGTAACACAGAAGTCATAAGCTTAGTTAAGTAGAAATCAAGAGGTAATGTTAATAACTGATAAAATGTAAAAAAATAAAAATCACAAAGAACAACTTTGGATTAACTTCCTATGTTTTTCCTGCTCACAACCTGCTTTTCTGGACAGAAGAGAAACAGCAGATGAAGAGGCGATGAACTCTCCAAAAACATTCCCCAGCCATTGCCTTTTAGAGCCTAAATCATCTAATTTGCAGTAGATTCTGTTTCTGTGTCCCACTGGTCAAAAATCAGTTAATTCATATCTATGTCATTACAGCATTACTAGACCAAGACCTTGTAAGGTCCCAGTGATCTTACACCTATCTCAACAGAGCAGCCACGCTGACTCTCAAATGCTTTATAGCAGCCTCCTAGCATCATCCAAAGCTGTGATTTCTCTCAAAACCCTTTGTGAAGTCAGCACATCACAAAGCTTACTTGCCTTTTGTCTGATAGATGACTTCCTCTGTTTCGAAGACAAATCCTTAGTATATCCCTTACAACAACTGAAATTTGTTGAAAGAGTCCAGCAGAGGGCCACAAAGATGAGACAGGGCCTGGAGCACCTCTCCTATGAGGAAAGGCTGAGAGACCTGGGTCTCAGATCTGGGAGACAGGGATTTGGCCAACCTATTTTCAGTGGTTTGTGGGGACAGGAGAAGGGGCAATGGCCACAAGATGGAGCCCAGGAAGTTCTGCACCAACATGAGAAAGAACTTAACGGTGAGGGTGATGGAGCGCTGGGACAGGCTGCCCAGGGAGGTTGTGGAGTCTCCTTTGGAAATATTCAAAGTCCATCTGGACGCCTACCTGGGCATCCTGCTCTAGGGAACCTGCTTTGTCAGGGGGGTTGGACCCAATGATCTCTTGAGATCCCTTCCAACCCCTACACTTCTGTGATTCTGTGATTCTGTGAAATAAGTTCTCAGCCACTTTGGTCTCTCGAGCTGCACGGTTTGCACCACAACAGTGACCAACTCGTGGTCACCAATATGCAGCTCAAAATGACAGCCTTATCAAGTCAGTAACTTGACCACAACAGGAGGAAGATATTTTTTTTCATACTTTTACTCAGTTTTTCCCATATTACTGATAAAACTGACCCTGACAGTTTTGTCACTTAACTTTGTGATCCTATATAACACTACAGTGTCGCTCTATTTGAGCATCATACTTCTGCCATGAGGTTTGCTGGCTTCCCCCCATGAATCAGGAACACAGATCACGAATAAACCCTCCATTAAATAGTCCTGTGAAAGATCTCCCTGTTTAGGATCACCTTGGCTGGCTACTCAATACTGGAACCATAGATTATAAATCTTGTATTTTCTCTTCCCATTTTGGAGTTAATTTTGGTGGAATAAATCCTGTCAGAGCAATATAGACACACAGACAGGTTTTGAGCTCAGAAATCTTGGCCTGTCTAGTCCTGTTGAAACACGCTGAAGAATTCCTACCAAAGGTATGAAATTAGTTGATTCAAGCACACAAAAGAAAAATAGTCAAAACAAGAGTCGTTTGAACCCAACTGGATATCAGAGGTACTTGAAACCTTAGTGAAGATCTTTTCCTGAGAGAGGGCATCTGTAGACATCTCATGCCCTTGAGTAGTCCTTTTTATTGGGAGGACAGGGTAGTTCATTTATGGTGGAGGTGTGGAGGGCAGTCAATTCACCTGTCTAATAAAATGACACATAAAGGAGAAGAGATGATGGCAAAATTGGGGATGTGTTTGTAGAAACACAGTTCAGGTAGATATTTTCAAGACACGGCAGTCTTAGATAGGTGTTTTTCAGCTAACAGTGTACCCCTTAGAGCTGATCCTCTGGTTCCTGGTGGTCAGGTTAGTCTGAGTTTTTGCTCACCTGGTCCGGTCTTTCTCCTGCATTGCTCTGTGAGCAGCCAGCACAAGCTGCAGCTGCAGTAGCTCCTTGTTGCGTGAATGTCATGCAGTATCTCTCTCCTAAGTAACAGGGAGAGACTCCACATGGCTGATACACCCCCTGAGTGTTGACTGTTATGTTAGAATACAAGGCTTCATAATGTTCAAAACATTCATGAATCTCAGACTGCAATAAGGGCATCACGAAGAGTTACTTTTCAAAACACCAGCAAGACCAGTGCAGCTCTTTCACCTTTGCTCTCCCATCTGGAAATGGTTTCTCATCCTACTCAAATGGCCTCTTGCATGCAGCAGAGAAATAAAAGAAAAAAAAAAAAAGCAAACAAACAAAAAAACAAAACCAAACACATTGTTTTTTCCTTTCCAAAGCCTTCCCAGCAGGAAGCCACCGTCACACCCCCTGTAGTAGCTTTGGGCACTTCTGTCACACTGCAGTGGGACGGAGCCAGCCACCCGCAATGCCTCCCTGGAGCCCTCACAGGGAAAGACTGAGCAACAGCTGCCCACCTCAGCCCTGAGTCCCCACTTCTTGGCAAAAAAAAAAAAAAAAAAAAAGTTAGCTGAAAGGGATGGAAAACTGGGTCTTGATAAGTGCCTGTTTCACTGGTTTATATACGAAGCCATTAAAATAAGATTGTGAAAGCAGTATCCATGGAGAGAAAGATGTCTCAGTAACGAAATGGTGATACAAAAAAATATGAATAAAAACAGGATAAAAACACCTGTAAGTACTTTATTTTAGTATCACCGAGGCTTGGAAATGTAGAGAATCCTCCTCATTGAAATGTGGTCTTGCAATTCATAAAAATCCGGCGCATGAGTAGCAGAAGTGTCTCTTGCACTCTGCAAACCAGGCTGGGCTGCACTGTGTGCTCCCAGTAACTCTTGCTCGGTGCATGTTCTGTTCCTCTTCTAGATGGCGCCAGTGTCTCGCTCCTGAGTTTTGCATCCCTTTCTGCTAAGTTTTGACAACTGCTGTTGTTTATCGCAGTCTTGGCTTCATGGCTTAGGATGTTTTCTGCAGATTTTTTTTTTTTTTTAATACTATTTTTAAAAAATACTTGGTTTATGTTTTATTATTGTTGCATGGAACATGCTAGCTTACATCAAATATGAAAGATTAATGATCTTATTCCAACTTTTCTATAGCCTAGAGTCTTTTCTCCTCTCTGGAGCATGGCACGATGGTAACAGACACTGTACGAGCAGAACGGAGCCTGTCTGAACCAAGGCATCCCAACTCACATCCTGGGATGAGATCAGGATGCTGCTTGGTTCACCTTCCCACAAAACAGGTTTTGGGGTGCCCTTTCACATGTAACTGATGCAGTGAAATTTATCTTTTATATGCCACTGCAGTTGTTTCAAACCTCTTTACTGCCTAATGTCAGTTGGTTCTCCCTGAAGGACAGATGCCTCTGGTTAGGAACTGAAAAAGTTTTCCCACAATCCAGCTGTTTCAAGAAGACCTGATAGCTTTTAATTTCAGATGCATCATGCAAAGACCTAGCAAAATGTGCTGCTAGCACTAAAGGTCTATTATTTTTAATAACATTTTTAATACAACGGTTATGTTGCTTTGTAAATTGTGGACCAACTTCTCTGTTGGTCTGCCTACCCTGGCTAACAGAATTATGATTATATTGCTTTGCTAGTCAAAATCTTTCTCTGTCACAGGGTTTTCTATATCATGTGTCATCCAAAAACCACTCAGTACCCTGAGTGCCCTCAGTAGAACTGGGATTTTCTGGCCTTTCAAGTGGGACTGCTGAAATAAGAAATAGGATTTTGCAGCACACCTGAAGGTTAATTATGGTTTGCATCATTCTGATTTCCTTCGGGAGCTCATTCCACATTGGCAGCCCTGCGCTGAAAACATCTGTCTGTGACTCAGCGTCTTGATGCTGAGATTTGTTTCAGCAGACAGCAGCAGCCTGGGTGGCTCAGGGGAGAGGTGACATTGCTGCAGTGGGTCCCCATGCTGTGGACCAGAGGCTTTTCTGCCCCATTTCTGGGATGGGCGTTGCACCTCAATGCCTCAGCCTTGGTAATGCTGAGGGCCTGCTATTTCCATCCCTGCAGCTTGCCTTTTACTCACAGCTCTGCAACCTCTCTCTGAAGCAGTCGAGACAGTACTTTCCAGAGCCTGTAAAGTAGTGTTTTTCCCTTGTTGTCCTCATGCTCTTGTCATTTTTCATGTTCTTTTCATGGCTTTGCACCTGCAAACCCAGATATTGTTGTTATGATGGGTTTTCACAGGAAGCAGCCACCACTGGCGTGAGATTCACACCTTATTTCCCTCCTTTCTTACCTTTCATTTTGGAGCTTTTTAGTTTAGAGAAAACCAGGAGGATGCTCATCTGGGTCTGCTCTTCCTAGGTGGTCGCTCAGTAGAGTTTTCACTTTTCCCTGTGGACTTTTTTTATTAATTTTTCCTCCTAAAATAACTTTTATCATTAGCTGGAGACCCTGTAAATGTGTCTCCCTGAATATTCTTCATTCAACATGGGGAAAAGATGTCTTCTGCCATCCTGCAGTCACACCTCTTATAATAAAAATACCTGAATCAGGTGATGTATCAGGAAGTCCATGATCTCTCTTTTTACATATATTATATACAGAAAGAATATTCGTATATATAAAAGGAATTTCTGAGTTCAAACTGGACAAAGCTTCATTGAAGCACATTTTCTTCCCGAAGCCACCTCAGTAAACAGAAGAGACTGGTTTAATCCAGACGACTGCAAAGTGTCATAGGAACCACTCTACAGGTAGCAACTTGCTTTCTTCCTTTAGCAGAAACCAGCAGGGATTTTAGCAAACTTGTGTGCATACAAATAGAGATCAAAGAGTACTCACACCCACAGCTCACACAGAACTCTATAAATTACTGGAATGGTTAAAAAAAATCCTTAATCAAATAGGAAATGGTAAAATTATATGACAAGTAGGCATCCAAAGAACTCATTAAGAGGTAGAGCAAGAACCAGCATGTCTGAAATTCAGCTCACCCTATTCACACAAGACCAACTCACTTTGAAAGTGGCATTGACACATCTTAGAGAAATGATTCCAAGTCATTTTTCAGGTATTTTTAGTATTTTTATAACATGATTGCTCATTTTTCCAAACACACAAGGGAGAAGGCTGACCTTTTCAAAGATGAACCGATGCTTCACTACGAACAGGTCTCTCTAATAGAGGCTTTGCCACCCTGTGGCTCACATTACATGAAATCTGTTGAGAAAAGCTATTAAAGCCAGCGACAAGAAGGGGATGAGACATGTGGGTAACAAATTATCCAGTTTTACAGGAAGTATTTAAGCTCGTGGGTACTGTGGCTGGATGTGGAGGCATTCTGGCTGCATTTATCTAAGATGCTGGTGTGGCTTCTGTAGGACAGCAATATGTGACTTTCTCAGGAGACCGCCTATGAAACCCCCAGCTTTGCCCATAATCTCCAAGATCAAGGTGAGCAGAGATGTTAAGCCTGGAAAAAGAATTAGGTTTTGCTTTTAGTGGAGATAAAATTCAGGTTGCTTGATTAGGTGTGTCTTGCATCTTGAATACTGATTCCCACTCCTTCCTCACACCCATGTGTAAATACCCAGGAAAAGTCCTTCTCTCTCTCCTATAGTCTAGGAGAGTGGTCTGAAGTGTTTGTTGGTGCTCCTAAGTTGTGCTGCTTTTACCTGATGTTTATACACTCCTTCCACAGAAGGCATTGAGGGCTTTACTCCTAGCCAGAGGAAGTCCTCGGTATGCACTGCTGATTTGTATCTGAATTTTGTGTTATCTGCTCTAGTCCTCTCTTCTTTCAGTAAGTCACGTCAGTGAAAACAATAATCTTGTGTGCTGAGACACAATATGGACTTCTCAGTACTTCCAAAATACATTAGAGACTGAAATATTACTCAGAAGCTGTACCTACCCTTTGTCAATGGTGTTAGTAGACGTTAGGCAAAAGGCATGCTTGAATTTTGGATATAGCATGGACTGCTTGGACTAAATTTACTTTCAGACATTGATATTATAAAGTTCTTCAGAGACTGCATGGTAGTAACAATCTACCCTTAGAACCAAGAAAGAAGAAATATACAATCAGTGAAAAGGTGAGGGAAGTCTGTATTCTTCAAGTCAACATCTGTTTTGAGAAAAACAAAACAGAACAAAACATGTAAGAGCTGCTAGGATATAATATACATATTGATGAGGTCAGGAGAAAAAGAGTTCTCAGAACTACTTGAGTAATCCATACAAAATTGAGACTATCAGTTCAATCCACCAGAACTAAATGCAGGTAGAAATCATTTTATTTTTGGTTTCTGGATCCTGCAGAGGGTGTTGAAGTACTTCTTAATGCAGTCTGTCTGCATGTTTATTTTGCTGGTTCATAAAACTGCAGAAGACAGTAAAACACATCCCCTGAAACCATAAACCTGCCTTCAGTTCTGCGCTCAAATCAGCATGGAGATTTGGTTTTCAGAAGTTTAGTCCTCCATCGACATGGAGATATTCCTGAACCTGAAATGCAAGGAGCACCGTATAAGCTCACTGTCCAAATTTTTGGTCCTTAAAAGTTGAACTGCTGCTACTCCAAAAATCCAGTTTCTTCAGAGCACTCTGGCTCTGCTGGGCTATTTTGTTCAGTGGGCTGCAGCACTCTTAGGCTTTTTTAACTTAGAAGAAAGCACAGTCTCAAAGACTCTGTCCCTTCTGACAGACAAGAATCTGTCACCTCTCAGATTATCCTTGACGTATAACCTCTCACCCATGATAAAGTCAACAAAGCCCATCACTCTTCATTAGCACTGGCAAGGAGAGAGTGCAAACACATAACGAACCTTTGCAACATTGTCCTGAAGTCTTGTGATGGTTTGGGAGCTGACATGCTGGACGTAGAATAACAATTACTTGCAACAGAATACTGGAAGGACTATTTTAGGTGCTGTGTAATTTACCCATCGAGTTAATGACCAGAAACAAGTAAATTTAAAAAGAAAATACTGCATTTAAGAATCTGTGTCTCTTTGCCTTAACTAACACTCATGTATTCTGCAGTCCTTGTCTTCCTGGACAATTCAGATGGGCAATGCTGTTACCGGTATGAGACTGTGGGAAGGAAGCACTGTAAGTCAAAGCACTTCTAGATACTTCCCTAAATAGATGTATTTTACATTTAAAAAAAAATGTTTTCCAGCCCTGTTTTCTTTACTCTTATGAAGATGACCTCTTAGGAGAAGTTTTTTCCACCAGAAGACTGTAGAGGCAAAGTCTACAGAGTCTCAAATGTTACTTTCTTTTGGCATATGATCATCATGAGACAAAAGCCCAAACTTATTTCAAAATTAATATCCTTACATTTTATTCACTTTCATGATTTTCTCACTGGAGAGGCCGCAGTATTCATATGTATCAGGAATGAATGCATATCAATTCACTTCAAACAGCCTCTGTTACTGCATAGGTAAGTAATTTTGCCTTGAAAAGAGACCCTTTCCTATTTGGCAATGCATGCACTAGACATCTGTAGAGTTTTTAGCTTTCTGATTGCTTAGATCAAAGTCATTAAGCCATTTCCTGAAGGCTTTTTTTTTGCTTTTGCTAAGAAGTTGCTAAGGACAACCAGCCTTCAAACAAAAAAACATCCAGGTGGATTTCAGCAGATAAAGATTTGCTTTAGCATAGGTGTCCCAGCTCCTCACAGTCAGATGCACTCTAAAATAAACCAGGCAGGTCCTTCAGCTCCTTTTGAGAGTTTTCCAATACTTTACGTACTTAAGAAGGTCGTACTGTAAACCTGGGGGTTGTGCACATACCTTGATTAGTGAAATCTCACTTCATCCCCTGACAGAGGTGCAGTCATAAGCGAAGGACTACAGAAGCAGTCAGTTCAAGCCTTGCTCTGGGGTCAAAATGAAGGTTACATAAATAAAGTAGTTGTTTTTTCAGACTGGAGAGCCAAAGACGGGTGGTCTGTGAGGTTGGCAATCACTTTCCTTTGTGTTTTCCTTGCTAGTGTCACTGGGATACTCTGCTCATCTCACCTCCAGTAGGTTACCTTGGCTCAGGCAAATAATTCTCTAGCCTCCAAGCACTGTCCTATGCCACCAGGCAAGCATTTGTGGGTCACCACGAACAAAATGTAAGCAGGCACCCTGTATATTAAGTGAAATGCTTATCAGTATTCTAATATGGTTTTCTCTGCTGTGATGGGATCAAATCATGGTCATAGTCCTGATGGTGTTCTCCACATGCTCATTGCACAAAGGGCAATAAGGAGTATGGACTCACTGACTAATTCATTCAGTCCCATCCATCTGAAGTACAAATCAGTAATGCCTCGTACAGCAGTAGCTCCTTTAGGCAGTCTCTCTTTTCCCAGAAATCTCCACCTAGCTGTCCTCTCTTTTGCCTTTAGTGGGAAACACTTCAACCCCTGTCCCTGTTGAATCACGCATGCATTGCTTAAGGGAGGGTGGTTTGGTAAATTCTTGGTAGTGGGCTCCTTGAGACAGATACTAAGAATTTATTCTTTATACCAAGAATAGGAATGCCTGGTTGCTTATGATTAGCGTTGGCACTTTGGTTTGGTAGGCAATCATTAGTATATTTTTCTGTGTCTTCCTGCCAATGACCCTTTCTCTTAATTTGGACGCCTATTTTCTCATGATGTCATTTTTTTATTTACTTGAGAAATCTGCTGTTTATCAGCAGTTCAAACCATTTAACATTGTAGACAATCTGGGAACATTTATGGTGTGTGAGAACGTCTCTCAGCATGCATTATTTCACTATTATTATGGACCATATTTCTCAGAATGAATGTTTTATAGACTCTTGCTCTTCCCAGGGGTCTCTATTTTTAAATTTACCAATGGGAAGTTTTTTTCCAGTAACTATAATCTAAGGTTTAGATTCCTTTTCTATTGTAAATGCTGCTAGTGTTTACTGCCTGTCTCAAATCTTAGATGTTCAGAGCCACTGGTAAATGCTGTTAGAACCTCCTTGTCCCCATACTTGAGAAGATCCCAGGGATGGGTTTCAGGGGCACAGTACTCAGATGACCTTGCTGTCATTCTCCTGCAGTCTCGGCAGCTGAGGATATTTCTTTGTTCACTGAATTCTCCCAGTGTACCCAGCCCTGGTCAGCATTCAGCACAAGCCTTGCACTAAACACAAAGGGACCATTTCCTCGATCTCTGATGACTCTTCCTTTGTTTTTCTCCATACTGCGCACCGTGTTTTGTTGGGGTCTTCTTTCTCTCTCTGCACAGCAGCCATCCTTCCCTTCTAGACTTTCTGCTTAGCTGCTATTTTCTTACTTCTATCTACCCGCTGCAGGCCTTCTTTGATTACCTTCCCACAGCTGAACAAAATGTAGTAACAGAACTATTCTTTACTTTGCACCTTGATTCTTGATTTAAGAGCTCACCAGAAATGATTTACATGCCTTGGGTCTTGTCCTGCTAGCGACAGAATTTTACCAATGCTGCAATCAGGTGCTCATACACAAGACAACCTTCAAAGGAACCAAATTCTTCCTCCTTCTGAATTACCCTGGGTACCAGAAGCCTCATCCTCTCTCAGGTACTACTCTGAATGATAGCATCCAGGGTTTCACTCATAGCTGTGTTAGCAGCAGTCCATCTCTTTCTATTGCAGTCCTCAATTTATTAATCCTTTTCCAAATGTTTTCAGATATAAGTGGACATCATTGCTGTGAATAAACCATAATTCCTACAAGAGAATTCCTCAGCTCTGTCTTAGCATTGATCTATGTGCTTTGCTGTTCATCCTGTATTTACCTATTGATTACTAAGTCCACTGGAAGAGATCTCTGCCTGCCTTCTGAGCCCTTCCAGCTACAGTAAATGTACCTGAATTAATCATCCTATACTGTTTGAAAAATATCTGCCTTTTTTTCCTCTTGCATCTTCCTGAGCTTCTTGAAGACTCCTTGTAACCTTTCAGAAATCACCTCTCTTAAAATTTCCTAGTGGCTATCTGCCTTTTTCCATGGATTTTTAACCTCTCTTAGAAAAGTATTTAATTTCCAGCACAGGCCAAGTAGTCTCCTACTGCTTCAATAGGAATAGATTCTCCTGCATCAAAATCTACCTTTCAGGTTTAAATTAAACTCCATGTCTTTGAGTTAAGGAATTAAATCCTTAATTAAGTCCTTAATCAAATCCTTCAAGACTAACTTAATACTGAAATATTTCTACCTTAAGGTGGAAACCACAAGACTTTGAATCTTTTTCCATGAGTGCCCTGGTACTGCTCTATTTCCTTTCCTAACCAGAAGGAAGTAGCTGCTCCCCTATCCTTCTCCAAACATCTCAGAATTAGGTTGCTTGCATGGAAGTCATCCCTTAAGAGGCAGAGGTACCTGTCATAGGGAGGAACAGCTGTAGCAGTGGGCAGTTTGATCATCACTTATATAAACAGGTGAGCTCATAGCAGTGACTTGCTTGCCCGGTGAACCTCAAAAGGTGTCTGAATCAGCTTCTATGAAATACTGGAGGTACTTGTGACCCATGTTGAGTGGGAAGCTGGAAGCTCTCTGCTCAAAATGCTCCTGGCACCTGGTGAAAGACTAGAAAGAGGCAGGGATGTAATTCCAATAGTTGCTGGAGAAAATGATAGAAAAGGGAGGCATAAAAATTCATTGACTATGAAGGATACTTCCATAGTAAAGGGAGTGTACACCAGCCAGATGGACCTCTTATGAACCATAAAGTAATCGCGCTGTTGACACTTTGACTTAAGAAGGTCACAGATTATTATTTAAAGGAATTGTACATGATTTGAGATGTAGTATCCACTAGTGGAAAACTCTGTAATACTGAGTAAAGGATAGGATAGACTATTGCAATATTCAAATAGAAAATGTGGAAAAACAGTTAAAGTCTGGAAAATGGGACAGAGAAATCGAAGTGGAAAATTAGAATGAGAATATCAGTGTAATAGGTATATCAGGAACCTGATGATACATGATAATACTGGGCACTAAGTATCCATGAACGACGCAGACACCTGTGCTGATGGAGCTCTGCTCTGCACTAGAGAAAACTCTACTTGTGTTAATTACATGTTCATCTATGTGGGTTGCAATTCCAGGTTTCTGAAAGAAAAACACAGTATTAGTGTATTGTATTATATTACCATATTGCAAATATGACTGTATTCATGTTACATTATTTTTTAGAATGTTTACTATTATATAATAGCATGTTATTATTGTAGTATTCCATTACAGAATCACGGAATAGATGTAGCTGGCAGGCACCTCTGGATATTGCCTAGTGCAACCCCCCTGCTCAAAACCCGGCCAGCTGGAGCAGGTTGCACAAGACTTCGTGAAGGAACAACATTAACGTACAGTCACTGTTACCATGGAAGAGCCATTTTGTAGTAGTGACCACGAGCTGCTTGGATTTACAACATTTGCAGGATTGACTGAAGCAAAAAAAAAAAAAGCCCAAGGAAATGAGTAAAGTTCACTTAGAGCTGTTAAATTTTACAAAGGGGAAGTACACAAAAGTAAGGATGTTTATTAAGACAGTGTTTAAAAGGGCAGAATTGAATCACTGTACAGCATTGGGACCACTCGAGGGTACCATACTGGAGCGACAAAGAAAATGTCTTCTGCTAATCAGGAAAGATTTGGGAAGGCGCAAAAGGAAGACAGCATAGATAAACATCATTGAAAGGAATGCAATTAAGACCAAGAAAGCTTCCTTTGAAACGCTGAAGTTGTGACCAAATAGGGTGAATGGACAGATATGTAAGTTGTGCCTACGTGCAAAAATGCAGTAAGGCAGGCCAAAAAAACCCTCTCCTAAATCCCTCAAAAATCCAAAGAACACTGGAAATTATTTTTATATATATATAAAAAAAAAAGGCATAAAAGCTTTCAGTAAACCCTAAAAACACAGAATGAAAAGCCTCTCAGAGGATTGTTTAGAATATTGTAGAATAGAAAAGAACAGAACAGAACCAAACAGGACAGTCGGAAGGGACCTCTCCTCACAAGACGTGCCCTCCAGCCCTCTGACCAGCTTTGTTGCCCTCCTCTGGATGCTTTTGAGGACCTTAACATCCGTTTTGGATTGTGGAGCCCAGAACTACACACAATACTGTATCCACATCACTGATAAGATGATGAACAGGACTGTCCCGAGAGCTTCAGGGCCCAGAAACTTCCTCAGACATCCCCTGGGGCCTTGTGACCCTCACAGGCTCCTCAGCACGAAGCCTGCTGCCACCACTGCCATTAGGAGTGAGTTGGTGTAACTCAGTGATCGATGTGTGAAAGATGTGGGGAAAAAATAGCCAAAGGCAGGAAAAAAAACAAAAACATATTTATTTGCACTTTTTGGATCTCACTGCTGAGGGAGAGCCTGAATAGCTCTTCTTGCAGAGGGTTTATTAGAGGACACGTCTCAATTTGAACTAAAAATGTCATGGAACAAGCAGACAAAATTAATAAGTCCCCATTTCTTGATCATTTTTGTCTGAAGAGCATCAAAGGAGCTCCAGGTAGAAATCACCAAATTTCTCACTGTTAACTGTAGCTTTGCACTTACAGCTGTCTTAGTACCAAAGAAGTGGAAGACGATTAACGAGAAAAATGGAACCACTAATTAGGAAACTTGATGTGTATAGTGGGCAAATTACTAGTAACTCTGTTAAAAAAACATTGAGAATTAGTGGATCTACGCATAAACCTGACATAGAGAGGAAGAACTTTTACAATGGGAAATTGTATCACACAATTACATTGGAGTCCTCTGAACAAAAAATCACGTGAATAAAGGAGACATGGATGCAGCATACATACCTGAATACTCAAAGAAAACAAAGAAGGTCTCCTGCCAAGGGGACCTTTTAAAGAAATTTAGCAGCTATAGGGTAGACGAGAAGATCCTTGTGTGAATAACCAGGAGAGAAATGGTAGGAGCGAATGAACAATTATTACATTAATAACAAATATTACACAGTAGCATAACACATATTATGCTACTGTGTAAAATCTTACAAACATTATTATGCCACTGTGTAAATCTATAATGCACAAATGTTTTTAATATTCTGTGGTGTATTAAGTTCTTCTGCTCAGTGGGTGTTAAACTGAATGAGTTTTATGGTTAAAAATGACCAAAGTGTGCAACCCCGCTTCCATGCAAGGAATGAATGGGTAGCCTCAGGCTCTTCAGACTGGGAAAGGGGTAATATGGGGATGTGGCAAATGTCTGCAAAACCATGGATGGCCTGGGAAGGGTGAACATTCACATGCAGTCTGGAAATAAAAGGAAAACTGTCACCTATGGTAATGTCAGAAAGCTGCATGTTGTCTTCCAAATGCACCACTTTTTTCCATACAGGATTGAAGGGTCATCAGTAGAGATTGAAGGGTCATCAGTGGGAGCCAGATTCAGAATACACAAAAGGAATTGTCTTTGCTAAAACAGATGCAAGTTGGGACAACACTAAGGGGAAGTGCCAAGTTTGCCGTGTTCCTAGTCTCCTGTGTTAGCCACAGGTGGAGATAGGATGCTGGCCTAGACAGATCCTCATTCCACACCCGCCAGTCTTTTCTTCCTACATAGGAAGAAACATTTTTTTCTGCTCTTTTTCGGTACAAAAAGTAGGGAGTAAAGAAAAACTCAAAAGTTCAAAAGAGATGAAATGATACGCTTTTCACCCATGTAACTCTGCTATACTTTTGTACATCTTTAGTGCACACAATCTGATTCAGTGGCGTGTGTTTTCTACGATAAGCAGTTCTGCAGAGGAGCTCTTCTGTGCAAGATGTTGTGGCTGTCACAGGCTGGCATGGGCAAATTCACCGGAGAAAAAAAACATCAAGGGTTACTGAATCTCCCACAGCAAATCCTTAAGCAAGAGGTATTGACAGCTGGAAGATTATTCTGAGGAAGCATCACTACATACTTGACTTTTTTTTTTTTTATTGAACTCCTCCACAGGTGCCCCTGGCTGGTTCCTGTCACAGACAGGTACCAGAAAAAGGGAGCATTTGTCTGATTCTCTATGACCTTTATCAGCATCATATTTTCTCTCGTCCACATCCATCGTGCAAGGATGTGAAAAACATGCGTGTACATTTGTAGGTTTTATCTTCCAAAACCCATCCTTCAGGATAAGGCTTTTTGTCTGTTTTTTGTTTGTTTGTTTGTTTTGTTTTGTTTTCTCTTTCTTTTGTTTCTTTTGAACAGTCAACCAACAGCAAGATAATGCCTATATTTATTTATAATGCCTATAATTTATTTATAATGCCTATAATTTATTAATATTTTCATCTCTGACACCAGAGAGGACTTTTTCCCAAGCATGCAGCAATAACTAAGATTCAAGCCATTCTTATCATTCTGCCTAATTTAAATAAGGCCGACAATGCATAATGACCAAGGCAGTCCCTGTTTTCTAGCTATGGTCCCTCGTGGTGCTGGTGAACACAAGCAGGACCTGACAGTCTCACCAAGCAGTGTGCTGAAACATATTGGCCAGCTATTCATCTTGGGATCTACTTTTTTTCTTCCATTGAATAGCTGCATGAAGGGAAGCAGAAAATTTATATTTTCACTGCTATGGCCTGCAAACCTTGTGTACTGTATCTCAAGAAAGAGTCAAAGATAAATTGGATGGTACCCTGATAGATGTGAATCTTGGCGGTGGCTAAGATTTGTTATGAAGAAGTAAGGGAAGCTTTCATTATTGTGTTAGCTTTACTACAAATTTGTCATATCAAACAGAAAAGAGACCCTTTCACCCATTTTTTTGAACCCTTGACATCATAAAATTGTCCTCTCAGCTTTTTGCTATTTTTAGCACTTGGTCTTACAATTCTAATTCTAATATGTTTCAACAGCACCAGTGATGAATCTGTGCACTACATAGATAAAAAATGAAAAATAGAAAACATCTCTACAGTGGGAGCATTTAGTTCCCACAGCCAATTTGCTTACACTTGCGTATGTTTTCAGGATTGCCTGTGGAGTTTTCTAAGGGTGTATGCAGAGGATGCTGTACATAAAGCTGCTGACCCTGCTGAAGCATTTAAGCTTTGCAGAGATGCAAGCAGTGAATTCTAAGACTGAGTAAGTCTGCTTGACATAAGAAAATGGCACTGCTTTACCGATATGTGGAAACTTTTCTATTACCTTCAGAGGTTATAGTGACCATCCTTGCTTATTAAAAAAAGAAAGAAAGACATGATACTATTGTTAAATTAGAACATTTGGGTTATTTGCTGGAATTGCCTTTGATTAGTAGTGAAATGAAAGGTTTAAATTATCACGTAATGATGCTAAAATGATGTAAGTGCTGATACAAATTGGAGAAAAGTAATTTAGGTAGCTCCTAGGAATTATACTTACTATCTGACTGAATTCGCTTAGAAGATGCCTAGGAAATTAATGTGTAGAGTAGAGCAAATGAAGTGCAAAAGGCATATTAAAGGCAATGTTCTTTGGAGCTTTCCACAGAGTGGTATTTTTTTGGAGACTGCATCATGCAGTTCTGTCAAGTCATGTTAAGATCCTAAAGGTAAATAGCTGCCGTGATTTTAAAGCATATTAACTTTGTCTTGTTTCCTCTTTACATAAGCCTGTGACTTTCTGTAATAACTTCAGTGTCACAAAATAACCTGGCAAAGTTTATGGCCATCTCAATCAGAGTTGACAGGCTGTAGTCCCACTCCTGCCCTGTTCATGAATACTAGTGTTTGCAGCAACTAAGAAACGTTACATTTCTCAGCACTGAGAAATGCAAAGGATCAATCTCCTTGTCAGAGACATGCTCCAACCGACTGGAGATCAGTTATCCTGGTAGGAGCCTTCCTCTCCCCAGCACGGTGCCACATGTGCCACCTGTACGGGACAGGGGTTCCCAGCAGACCAGGACCCCTCTGGGCTTGCTGGATCTCTACCCACCACCTGCTTGGCAAGTGATGTTCTCCTCATGGGGAAATTGGTTTAACTCATGCTAGATTCTTGCAGCAGCAATGCTTGCTTCATTCATAGCAAGGTCTCATGGGAAAGTGAGGGATTTGTGTGAAAAAAAAAAAAAAGCTGTGAGATTTCATCTGAATTGAAAATCTGCTGACGGCCTGCTGTGTGTTTTGCTTCTTGTCTGTCAGCCAGGAGAAGTGTTGTTAAAACCAGTCTAGCATGCGTAAAGCAAGAGCAGGGAGATCTGTGCTATTGCTCCAGGAAATCACAGCCTTAGCATGGGAATTCAGTATCAGTCTTCCTGTACAGCACAATTCCTTGGAAAACAGTTACTGGAGATGGCACCAACAGGGCAGAATGCACGGCCCCTTCCCATGGAAAACACTTCATCTGCCTGGGGATATACAGCTTTTGTACTGATGCAACGCAGATTAAAAACGTGACAGAGACAGAAGTTTTGGCCTGTGTTCCCACTTCAGAGTGGCTTCTGATTTCAAAGGCATTCAGATTCAAACCCTTGCCTCCAGAGCTGGACATCCATGCCAGCCCTGTACGTCCAGGGAAGTGTGTTATCAGAGCCTGGGGAGAGAAGAGAATTCCCCTCTATCCACAAAATTTACTGCTTGTGAACTTTACTAACCCTTAGTACACTCCTGGCCTGGGAATTGAACAAATTCCTTGTTTTAAAATTAGCTACACCAAAGCTTCATTTGCCTGGTTGTGAGAAGAGTCAAGCAGAGCTAATTGTGGCATAGATAGTGAATCTTACTGCAGATAACGACAGCTACAAAAAGTACATTTTCATTGTGTCATTCATTTTAATGAGAAGTAAAATAAGCTGATGCAGGAGATCCTGGGCAAGAGAAAGCTTTGTTATGTATAAAAACTTCTCTACTTCTTCCCCAGTCTATTATGTGAAGAATGAGTCACATTTTTGACAGTCGTGGATGAGAAAAGTTGTGGCTGCAGGACTGCGAGTACAAAGGGAAGCAGATGGATGGGTGCTGGAACATGCTGAACAAACAGCTTACTTCATTTTGTTTATTCTCTTCTAAAGCACTCGGTCGCTGGGTATTAGGAATGTTACATAAAGCTAAAACCGTTGTGCTAATTTTTCTCTGGTGTCATGCTCCAGATTTAAAGAGAATTACAGCTTTGGTCTTGTAGCAACAATAACAAACCGGCAGAAACATCTCTGCCAAACAAAACTGAATTAAATCATGTATTTGCGTTTATTTTCTTTCTGCAGAAAAAGAGCAGTTAGCCTTTGCCCAGCCTGTCTTCATTGCACTGAGGACTCTAAAAGCAAAACAGCAGGCAGTTTATAAAAGACATAGTGAGCTATCTCCTGGTTTTGCTGTAAAACCCCATGCAAGCTTGAGTGACGATCAACCATTCCTGTAGCCAGCCCACCTCAGGCTGCTCAAACCTTTCCAGGCTAGTCCCAAACATTAGTGGTACTGGTGAACAAGGTCAACTGGTGACAAACCACCCCAAAGATGGGTGCTGAGGTGCCCCCCAGGCTCGGTACCCAGGCACGTGGGGCAGCATCATGTCCCGGGCTTTGCTTGTCTTCTGCAAAGAAACCCAGAGTTGAGACTAAAACATTGAAGATAAAAACCAAAGATGGCATTAATCAGCTCAGTCTGGGCCGCTTTCCAGAGCACAGTGGTGTGGGATGTGTGGGTGACAGCCTGCCCGTAGTGCTGAATGATTCCTGTTCTACAAGGGTGGAGGAACCCGCTGCTGCAGGATCTCCCTCTGCCCTCTCCCACCCTTGCCACCATCGCCTCCAGCCTGACTCAGCCAGTCTTGTTCAATATGTGCCAGTAAAGAGGATTTTGCTACATCATTTCACAAAAGCATGTAGTCTGTAACAGAGACGAGCTTAAATTAATTCTCATTTTTATCTGGGGAGACACTAGTTGCAAACGAATTACCAGAGAAATATATAATACAAGGCTGGAAATTTCATTTGTAAATGGACATTTTTCACAACTGATGACCAATCATATATAAACAATTAGGTATTTCCCTAAAATTCGATTAAAAAAACTGAGACTAAAGGTCACATTATTATCTCCTTCAAAATCGTATATATAGTCAATTTTCATATGGTATTTTAAAATACAGTTTAGTAAGCATCCAGAGCCCTAAACTATTTCACTGTAGGATAGAAAATGTTGCCACTAAGATCCAAACCCCAAGTTTTACCTAAAGAAACATAATTAAAATCCAGACCCAGGACAAAAATTTAAACTTACGTTTTATGTCAGGTGCAGGTGGTGCCTGAAGGAAGAACGTCCTACGTGCTCCAGGGAGAAACACCTCCAGCAGAGGCATGTGGTCGATGTTGGATGGAACGAGCAAGGGATTTGGGTCTCCCAGGAGGAGCCCCCCCAGCCTCTCTGGGCAGCCTGGGCCAGTGCTCAGCCGCCCGCCCAGCACAGAAGTGCTGCCTGGTGCTCAGAGGGAGCCTCCTGCCTGCCCCTTGGTGCCCACTGCCCCTGGCCTGGCGCTGGGCACCCCTGAACAGAGCCTGGCTGCGGCCTCTTTGCCCCCTCCCTGCGGGGATTCCCAGCCCTGGGGGAGATCCCCCTGAGCCTCCTCTTCTCCAGGCTGAGCAGTCCCAGCTCTCCCGGCCTCTGCTCACAGGCGAGGTGCTCCAAGTCCTTCCTCATCTTTGTGGCCCTCTGCTGGGCTCTCTTCAGTATTTCCACGTCTCTCTTGTACTGGGGGCCCAGAAATGGACCCAGCACTCCAGGTGTGGCCTCACCTTCCTTGACCTGCTGGCAGTAATTAGTGTACCGTAGTCCAGGACACCATTAACCTCCCTAGCATCAAGGTCACATTGCTGGCTCACACTGAGCTTGGTGTCCACCAGGACCCCCAGGTCCTTTTCTGCCCAGCTAGTTTCCAGCTGATTTGTTCCTCTTCAGGGGCAGCACTTTGCAGTTCCTCTTGTTGAACTTCATGAGGTTAAGTATTAGCAGTGACTACACTGATATGAAAGTGGATTTCATTTTAGTTGGAGTTTATGTGGAAAGAATTGCAGGCTATATTTAACAGTGGCATTTAACCACTGGATATAAGATGCAGAGCACTAAAACCTGATCATTCTGACTTTGGAACATCATTGGTGTTTTTTATCCAGTTGTTGTGTCATGGTTATTATAAAACAGTCAGCAAAAATACATTAAAGGAAGCTTGTTTTGCATGTGGTTTCTATATTTGTATGAAGGGAGATTTCAGCAGAATAGCACAGTATTAAAAGAACACTTAATATGAGATAAACACAGACCAAAACAAAGAGCTTTCTGAGTAGGGAACTTACTGTAACATTGTGTACATGTGCCAAGATATATAAACAACAAGTCTTTGGGAGACCATATTTTAAGATAGAGATAACTAGTCGCTGGCAAGTCCTTCAGATTCTGCACTTTCCTTATCCCATCAGTGCGTAATTCTGTAATATCTAATACACACCCACACAAAAACCAACCAGAAGTAATAGAGGTTGCAGTTGCTGACTGTACAATTATTCAAAACACACAATGCAAGCAGAAAGTCAGTGCAGCATCAAGGTGACTGGTGGAGATGGCTAGCTCTTCCTTTCAAAGGTTCTGAGGCTGTCTCATGTAGGTTTTAATCAAAATCAAAACAAAACAAAACAAAACCTTCCATTTCTTTCTGAAGACTTCAATGGGCTTTAGATGAAGGCCTTAGAAAGTGTTTGGTGTTTTGTCGTGCTCTAGTTCAGCCTTTTCAGAGTCAAAATTAGATCGATAATTGTCCAGGAAATGCACTAATGCTCCCGGCCACCATCAATCCACAGCTTTTGAAGATCAACAATTATTTCCAATGCCCACAGTTGGGATGGGCAAAAAACATACCCAGTTTTGGCAGTTCATACCACATTTCAGAAGGACATAAAACTATTAAAGGGTGTACAAAGATGGTGAAGGGTCTAGAGGGCAAGAAATATGAGGAACAGCTGAGGTCCCTGGGTTCGTTCAGCCCCCAGCAAAGCAGGCTGAGGGGAGGCCTCATGGCGGCCTGCAGCTCCCTCACGAGGGGAGCGGAGGGGCAGGCGCTGAGCTCTGCTCTCTGGGGACAGCGACAGGACCCGAGGGAACGGCATGGAGCTGGGACAGGGGAGGGTCAGGCTGGGGGTTAGGGAAAGCATCTGCACCCAGAGGGTGGTCGGGCACTGGGACAGGCTCCCCAGGGCAGTGGTCATGGCACCAAGCTGCCGGACTTCAAGAAGTGTTTGGACAATGCTCTCAGACACATGGTCTGATTTTTGGGTGGTCCTTTGTGGAGCCAGGAGATGGACTTGACGACCCTTGTGGGTCCCTTCCAACTCAGGATATTTTATGATTTTGTGAAAGGACAGCTTATTTTATATAAAAACAATATTAGGTGTCTTTTGCTGTTCCAGATAAATATTAACATTCTTCTGCCCTCAACAGTATTTTAAAGAGGAACAGCAAACAGTAACAAGAAAACTACAGGCAATTAAAAAAGATGTAATTACTACTGTTGCAAAAGAAACAGCTTGGAAACCTCCTGTGTTTTTCCTTTCTGAATTATTTCTGTTAAAATTGCCCCTACTTCCCCTTTCTTCATGCAGCAGTCACTTTCATCTTCCCATCTATCAAGCCTTATGGCTGACAGCAGATGAGCTACCAGCATTTGATACTGTTTTATTCCTGGATTGCAGAGAAAATGAATGCAGGCTTTGCGATTTTAGTCTCTGGAAAGAGATATGTGTTAGTAGGCTAAGCCGCTGTGCTGAACACATGCAGTGCTAAAATCTTCGATGGAGGTAATTCCTCCTGCTTGCTTGACAGATCAATTTTTATCAAAAATCCCTTGTCATGAAGAAGTGAAACTCTGCCACTGGAAGTTTGTGCCTGCAGAAAGCAAAACATGGACTGAAGAGGGGGTAAAATATACAGACTTCTTCATTTGGCTTGCTTAGGTCACCTGATAGCTGCCCCAGTGCTGGAGATTGCCACATTCACATGCATAGTTCCTGTGGCAGTGGGGCTGATGTGCAAATGCCTTCGTGCCCCTTGAGCACTGGCTGATGAACTTGCACATCAGCTTGATAGCTGTTGGGCTATGCATACATGTCAGACACACAGATTTGCCCAGGTGGGTGTCAGGCAGCTCTCAGCCCCCTTTTCTGCAGTGTGAAGCAGACAACTACCTGCCCAGTGAGACTTGCGGGGATGGAGAGATGCACCAGGTGATGGACCATCCGCAACAGCAGCTCCTGTGACTTTAGGAGACAAAATGTAGCTAGCATTCCTCTATGGGACATATTCCTCTAGGGACACTCCAACTAGCCTACAGAAACTGCTGAACAGGGGAAGGAGAATCTAAATATTTGTTTTTAACTGGTCTGCAATGCTTATCTCAAGTCTGAAAGGTGAGCTTCTCTATGCAATGGCAGTGCAGAGCCTGCAGCGGTGGCTTTGCTCACCACTGTGGGATGGAGGGAGCGGGGCCTTCCTCCATGGGCAATGCGCCTGTGCAAGGCTGGAGGAGAGGCAGGTCTGTATAGAAGGGGAATTAAAAAGAATGAGTCACCCCGTCCTGAAACTGGGCTTTTGTGGAGCCAGAAATGTAAAAAGGGAAGAGAGACAGAGGCAAGACGGTGTGTAACTGCAAGCCAGATGGGCGGCTTGCACTCTACTGCGTCCTGAATCCTCTGTGACTTTTGTGGAACTCGAGATGCAGAAGTAATCTGGGTTGTGAACTGTTGAGTGTGATGTGCGCACAGAGTCTTGCAATGAGTCTTTTCATGATATTCTGAGATGGCTTCTCCAGAATTGCTGAAGTTTTTATCAATAAGAAATGTAATAAACTCTCCTCGGAAGCTGAGTCATCCACTGACTGTGTATAAAAAATCCCAAGCAGTCACTCCGGATCTAGCTCGTCAGGTGCAGGGTGAGCTGGCAGCGAAACCCATCTATTCAAACTGAGGCTAAAAGCAAAAATGCAGAATTACTTTATAAAAGGAAGGGAAAAGGTCTGTCCAGAAAGCAGGATGTACTAGAACGTGAATATAGGAAGTCTTGCGGGCAATGAAGATAACCATATCATACGGTGAAAGAGTAAGTTGCAAAACACACTCAGGAAAATAACATGCGATCGATGTCTAACTTTTCTGCATGTTTCAGTCTCTGACCCTGTGTATCTGGGAACAGCCCGCCTATCAGTCCCAGCATGATTGTCACCATGAACCATGTGATAGAGATGCTATCAGACCGCTTCTGCACTGCCTCTGCCGCTTGCAGATAAGATACAGTTAAGATGCAGTCTCAGTGGATGGTGCATCTCGTGAGATAACTCCGAGCCCATAACTCTCCTCCAGACACGGTATTGCTGTCTGAAGCTGTCGTTCTCCATGCTCCTCTTGCTGCACATCAAAGCTTCCTCCTAAAGGGCTCTACCTCTGAAAGCTGCCCACAAGGTCATTTCCTACCCTGCTTTGGTCAGAAGAGGCTGGGTGAGCTAAAACCTCCTGTTTCAGGTATCTACAGAACCTGTCTTTATGGCCAAAGTGGGTTTGGGAGCACACAAGTGAGCCACTGCTTGCAGACCTTGGGCTGAAACAGTAAGCAAAGCAGCCAGCATGACCACAGGTAGAAGAGGATGCCTTCCACAACCCTTGGTGCCACAAGAGCTGGCAAGGTCTAAGTTAGGCCCTAACTTAGAGTGGATTACTCTAAGTGGAGTGGTTTCATTTAGGGTCCTAATGCAACCACCACACCTTTCAAAGTTCACTTGTCATTGACTTCTACCAGGGGCCTTTTAAAACTTGCTTTGCAGTGTCGATGCAAATACAGGCAAATGTTCAAAGCCACCACTCATGGATGTTGAGCTCACCCCAGAGACTGAAGATGTTAGCCTAGTTCCTTGGTATGCTGTTTTTTCATGTCTTCCTTCAGGTCCATGCTAAAAGAAGCTCACAGAGCCACTTGAAAGCTATATGTACCTCCTCCCTGGGATTTGTGAGTTTTGGTGGCACTGATCCTCACAGCCACTGCACGTTGCCCACTATGACCCCACATAGGAAGCACACCCAGAAGCCTATTGCACCTGTTCCAAAATCCATGTGTACAGCCAGAGTGAAGAATCCTTGTGATAAATGAGAATCAGATGCAAGTGGCCAGTGGAGGAAAGATTACAAATGGGATTACCTAAAGCAATTTGGGATGTAAATGACTATAGATGTAGGTGGTGAGAAGGTTTGTTGGGAGACCCCACATCTGCTGAGCTGTGTTAAGCAGCTCTGTGTGAATTCCTGATTGCATTTCCTGATGTTTATGAAATAAAACACAGCACCTAGAGGTGTGTCTGGCCTACCTGTGTGTGTTGATGGCACAGAAGAGGAATAAACAAGCAGCTACAAAGAATTAACAAGCTGTGTTTAAAGAACCCCATTTCAGCATTGCAGTTGTCCAGGAGCACCCAACTGTGCAGTTACTGTAGCTCCACCGAGAAGTGGTAAAATGTTAAGGGACAGCAAGTCATTCACTCCAGTCTCTTGTTCATGGCCTAAAATAGTGATGTATTCAGTTCTTATCTACATTCAGGGAAAATTAGTCCCTCTTCTTCATAAACTTGTCTTTAGACTGTGAGCTGAATTATTTCTCATGAACTCCTAGATGCCTGCTTATGGTTTTGCTCATTGTGACCTTTCTGCATAAGAAGTCTGAGAGATAAAGTGGGTATATGGCCTCTCCATAATTCCAAGAACTACTCTTATAATCATCCATGTGAAACATATACAGGAACATCTTCCAATATTTCAAGCAATCCTGATTTCCCAAAAGTGCATATATTTAAGTGTGGGACAAATACAGAAATCCAGAGAGCTTCCAGATACCACGTAAGCTGCAGGGCCTCTTCCATTGGGTGAAAGATATGAAACATTGCCATGTGATTGCTAGCACCACTCCTTGAGCTGAGAACATTTCTCTCTTAAGAAACCATAAGGTCTGTTCATCGGGATTTACTTCCCTTTCCTACTACTCATTGCCCTTCTGTGGCTTCTACATAAATAGCATTTCAATTTTGCTTTAAGTTTTTTTTTTTTTTTTTTTTTCCTTTCCACTAACAAAACTGAAAGTTGTTAACAACAGCAAGCAGAAGAAGGAAATTCTGAGCACACCAGAAGGCACACGAGCTGAGGTAAGACAAGATTTGTCTGCTTTTTCTGATGTAGATAAAAAGGGTTGCAATAACTAAAATACAAGCTACTAAAACACGACCTTTGTCTTACTTGCAGTAAACTTTGAATTTGCTAGTAGCTGTGCTTGTTAACTAAATTTCTCTATGATAACACAGGGCTTCTGGATTTTCTTTGGCAGAAAAAAGGAAAAGTAGAATTGTGTAACTAGGACTGTTTCCAGATGGAAGACAGCAGTCAAGTAGTGGATCTGATTAATTAAGTCTTGTATTTTTTTGTTTTGTTTTGTTTTATAACTAAATGACACATATAGATTTAGTTTATGGCCAGCTTTTAAAATAAAAAGAGCTAGAGGTCAGAATCTTGCATGTAGAAAGGTTAATAAAACACCGCATGTTTTGGCAAATTGAATTCAGTGTTAATTCAAAAGATTACATTCTGTTACATTTATTCTTGGTAATGCTGCTCCTGAAACACAAAGTGAATACTAGAAAGAAAGCCAACATGACTTTAAGAAATATTAGAACTTCTGTTGCTTCTATATATAGCGGCAATACCACAACTGCCTTCCTACATGTATTCAGATAATGAATATGATGAGACTACTGAGTCTGGGGTCTTCTGCAGACAAAGGGATACTGTGATAGATTCACAGAGCACTTTTTTTGCCTGTAATACAACCAGGTCTATAAACCTCTTAGCATTGCAAAAATATATTTTTTGAATGAATAGTCTGAAATCCTTATTCATCATTGTGTATGCAGAACATCTTACTGAAAATATGTTCTTTGGTTGTTCTCTGCATTATGGAGATCTCAGTAGTAGATCTCAAAGCAGCAGATTTTGAGTTTTACTTGGTCTTTTTCAGTTCAGTTCCACGTTTATACATTTAGCAGTGGTCCCCTCAATCACATCTCCCCAAAAGGAGCGTGTCCTTCTGTCCGGGCAACCACAGAAACTGTTCCCACTGTCAGCTGAGAGGCTGGCTGACTTGTCTGTCTGCTTGCTCATGGTGCAGCCTCCCACTAGAACTGGGGAGAGCCCAGCCTGCCAGTGCTGCCTGCTCCTCGCTGCACAGAGGAACACCCTCTTCTCTCTGCTTGAAAGCAGGCTCCTAACAGCCCTGCTGAGCACCCCAAGTCCCAGTAATTCTGTGGGACCCTGTGAATAACGTTGCATTCACCCATACTATCCTCCACCTCCACAAATCTGCAGACCTTGGCTGTGTCCTCCTGTATGTACTGAAGAGACCCAGATTTTTTAGTCCTCACTCTTAAAACCCTCCACAAATCTGATCTGACTACTGAACTCTATAGGACCGCATTGCAGATTTGTTAAGCCCTACACTTTGCTTCTTACCCTTTAGCCAGCTTCCAGTCCATCGGAGAACATACTGGCAACTTAGAAACATTTGGTGCAGAGCTTTGTCAAAAGCTTTGACAAATCCAACTGTGTAAATGCATAAATATGCATATACAAGTATAAAATGCTCCCCTTCATCTGTTGAATTCTTGGTTCTGGACTGCTCCTCTGTCCCAGTACACTGCTGAACCAGGCTCTACTGTGATTGCTAGTACAGGGCTCCCTCCATCCAAAACTGCTTTAACTAGGACCCATGCAGCACTAAAGATCAAATGCAGAATAACATCTTGTATTGTGGATTGTGGGACTAATTATCCTAGGAACTGGGCATTTGTTGCATACAGATATCTCTGTATCTTATTCTGATGCAGCATCACATCTGTACAAAGGCATCTGAAATCCCCTGCTAATACTTCCTGCGTTCAGCTTTTCTAATCTCGCTTAACATTTTCTGATGACTATCATCGTTGTGATGAGGAGCTTGGCAGTGTGGTCCTAGTACTATATTTTTATTATCATAGGATGGGATGTCTGCCCACAAGGACTTTGTAGCGCTTCTCTGTAGCAATAATATTTTTATGCTATTGCTAGTTACACAGTCCTTCCTGCACAGTGCCACTCCTCCACCTGTACATCCTACACTATCATTACCATAAAGCTGGTAGCATGGCAACACGGGCTCCCATTGATTATCCTCTCCCCAGCAGGTCTCGGAGGTGCCTGTTGCACCAGGGCTGCTGTTTCATGCCAAACCTTCCAGCTCCCAGGCTTTGAGCTTTGGGGCAGAATTACATGTAAGCTTTGCTTTTTCTTATTCCCTCAATATAGCACGCGCCAGCCTTTATGGGCAGTTGGATTTGCCTTCCCTGGTTATTGCTGTTATTGCAGCTGTGCTTTACAGATTTTTTTTTTTTTTTGGTCTTTTTCCCTCCTGGCCTTTTCAGCAGCATGCTGGATGTCAGCAGCACTGCTCTTGCAGCTCTTGTCAGTCCAGCCCACTTGCTCTCTCCCATGCCCGTCAGCTCTCCTGTTGCTTCTAATCAATTACTCCTCTGCAAACCTTTCAGTCTGCAGTGCCAGCACACCGGCTCCACTCTGGGTACGGAGCAGCCTCTCCTTTCTGTACAGCTTGCCTTTATCCCCAAAGATCCCTCATTTTCTTACATCCTAGGTCTCTCCTCCTTACAGTCTCATCCATGAGCTGAAACACCCCAAGTCTGTGCAGACTGCTACCTGCATCCCAAACTTAAAATCTGATAGTTTGGGGACACTTTTATTAGTTTAGTATCTCCTTCAGTCAAGATTAGTCTCCTCCTTCTTTTGCTCTATCAGTTCCCCACCTGGCTTGTGTATCCATCTGTTTCTTCAGACTGTTAGATTCACTTTCTTGTTGCCACATAATCTTAAATCACACTCAAGCCAGGCTAAAATAAAAGGCAGCATTTTAATTAATAATGAATATATAATTTATTATGTATATAATTTATAATAAAAGGTCAATATTCCTTTATGATATCCATAATAATCAAGCAGTAAATGTTTCTAGAAGACTTCCTGGAGAAGAAATTAAAAAATAAGACCCTCCAAACTCGACGTCAAATCTACTTACACAGCAGTTACTTCAGAAAAGCCTCCCTTTTCCTTGATCCATGGATGTGCTCCCTTTCCTGACAAGGTAGAGCTTTGGGATGTGCATCAGCTCCTTCTTCTTGGTAGAAAATCACATATAGAAAAAAATTCCCCCCAGGGAGTTTCAATCAGGTAATTCTTCCAGCACCACTGAAGAGAGACTCCCATTGCAGACTGTCCTTTCCTCTCCCTCTTTTTTTCTTTCAGGAGGATGTTAGATTGTACCATCAATCTACCTTTGGAAGTCTTTTTGGGGACCCTATAGTCTCTTACCTGAAACCCCTGCTGTTTGTTCCTGACCCAGGAGACAGTCTGGATGCTCTCAGTGAAAAAGTTTGTTGCCTCTCCTTAGACATGTCATTCGTTCTGTGTATCAAGGAGCCATCTCCTGGCCTTAGCTGGCTGGTGAATGGCTCTTGGCTTCAAGGAGGGAATTAAAATTCTCTCCTTCTCCTCTGTGGTTGCTTGAGATAGTCCTGTGTGGAATACATCTTTCACCGCACATCTTCTGTTAGACACTGATCTGTGTGTTAAAACACAATTAATAGGAGCATCTTCATATGAAAATTGCAAGGGTCATTCCTGGCCCTTTGCAGAGGGCAGGCACCATGGTGGTTAATACATTTCAGGTTACTGGTCCCCAGTCTTTTGCTCGTAGGCAGCCCGTAACAACTTAAGGTTTTACTTGTGTAAAATGGAGAGGGGTCTGAGTATTGGCTGTCTTGCCAGATGCAAGGATGCTGAGTTTCCTCAATTACACACACACATCTGGTTTCTTGAAAGTCTTCAGATGGCAGGAGAGGTAAGGATCACAAAATAGCTGTAACGGTAGTTGTTAGATGGATAACCTCACCTGAAGAGCTTGACCAGTGGTGACTCAGGCTCTGTGCCCGTGGTGCTCATAGTGATTTCCCCAGAGCAGAGGTACCCAAGGGCTTTTCATCAGCAGGACTTTCATTACTCGTGGTGCTGAGCAGGGCTTTGAATTTGACCATACTCCAAGTTCTTCCTCATTCTACTTTTTTATCTCACAGGAGGGCCTGGTGGCCCACACAACAGGGATGCTTCTACGAGTGGTAGGTTTCTTCACTGACAGATATTCTGTTGTGTTTTGAGGTTTCTAAAGGCACAGATGCTTGAGTCATAGTAAAGTACAATCAAAAGGTCTCTTCCCTTTGCAGTACCTAGGGATGCAATGTTTCCCTGCAAGATGGGACCAGCTTCCATTAGGAGAAAAGCTGGTTCCTGATCCCACACAGAAAACTTTGGTGTCAGACAGTAAGTAACTTGTACAGAGAACCAAAATCATTCAAAACTCCTCAGACTATGAAAGATTTGATAGGGACTGTACCTTGTCTATCCCTTCCACTGTGGAAGAGGCTCTCAGATGAGATCTTCTCTAGGAGCACTTGTTTCCAGAAACTTTGCTGGGCACTAATATTCAGTTTGCCCAGTTCCAGTCTTCAGTGCTCCTGACCTTCCTAGGTATTGCCTTTGCTTTCTGAAGGGACAATTGCAGGCACTGCAGGGATGGACACAAATTCACTGTGAGTCAATGTCCTCATTCCCTGAGCTGCCACCATCCCATCTCGCCACGGCGTGGGTAAGCCCTGCTCCACAGGAGCCCAGGCTGGAGAGGTCCCATTTCCCATGCTCCGTCTCACAGTGGAGCCAATAAAAGGTGACTGCTAGGGCACATCTGGTTGCTATATTAAGGGATCCAGACACAGCCCTGGACATGTCATGGGCTGCCCTCAATATAGCACAGGCTCCCACACCATGGGAAAAGGCTAAGGGTTCCCAAATCACCTCCTGTTCACAGCAGCATTGCCAGTACTCTAGTGGGCAAGTGGCAGACAAGGGCTCCCAAGTCTAGAGCCCACTCTTCCCCCTAGGGACACTCCAAGAGTGCAAGTAATTTCATTTAAAAGCACGAAGCCTGTAAGGTCCAAATTAAAATGCAACCCACAATCATGTGCCATCGGCCCATTATCACTCCCTCTGGAGCAAATTGAAACATCCTTCTTCATGCAGTTAGAAATCTCATACAATTCTCTTTTTTAGGGTAAAAAATTCCAGAGCTTCATTTCTGGGATGTGCTGGTAGATGCCGAGAGGAGATTGCTGTCCCACTGTTAAACAAGTAACAAGGCTAGAGACTTCATTTTCAAATACTCCTAGCTGCAGGTTTGCTGAGAAAAGAAATGAGGAGTTTAGCAAGGAAATAGCCTCTAATGAGAAATACATATTATTTAGAGTGGTTTAGTGATCAGAGATTTTGATTTGATTGAAATACAGCCTCATGGAGGGGGAAAATGTCACTCTCTATGAACACAGCCTGCTTTTTTGCAGGCCATTTTCATTAGGACTGCTAATGCAGGCAGTCCTGGAAGTGTGCATAGATGAGTGTCTGATTTAGAGGAAATGAGCACAAAAAAAGGTTGAAAAAGCAGTAAATGAAGCAAAGGCCCCACAAAAAAAAAAAAAAAAAAAAAAAAAAAAAAAAAAGAGACCTTGGAAACCAATTAGAGGAAAGAAGAAATAAGGAGGAGGGAGTTAAAAAAGGAACCATGCATGACTAGCACAACATTTACTCAGTGTTTCAGGTCGAAACATCCGTAATTGACACATACTGAAGTATGTCAATATGCCCTTGGTATTGCTATTCGTTGGAAAGCCCAGTGACACACTTTCAACAGCAGATAACATACCAGAAAAATATGACAAATTATTGTCAAATTGGAACTAGACAAATTTTGACTTTTTGTCCTAATTTGAAGTACAAACTTACCAGCGGACAGTGATTTCTCTTTTGATGTTTCCTTGGGAGGTAACTGGGGACCCAAAACCTCCGTGCTACACAATGGCTGGTGGTAAGTCGGGTTATTTTGCATAGAGAAGATCAGGGATTTGCCATCAGATGTGGGCATAACATTCACCTTCAAGAGCCAGCGTTTTCATAGTTTGAGATAACAAACAGATGCTGTAATACTGAAACCATTTAGAGCTTACTTGGTGCTTTATATCTTGAGATCATTTACAGGAGCATCACAAGTGATTACTCATTAAGGAACCTTTATTTTCCACTGAATTTTGTAACTTCTGCCCTGTGAAACCACCCCAGCATTGAACTCCCTGCAGAGCTGCAACCCTGCACTCACTCCACTTCTTTCTACTTTGGCAGGAAGGCAGAGACTACTCCGGACTATGAATATTTCCGAGATGGCGCTATACAACAACTCAGATGACAGCTCATTCAACTGTACCATTGATGCCTTCAAGCAAGCCATTTATCCTGTCATGTACCTCTTTATCTTCTTCCTGGGTGTTGTCGGAAATAGCCTCTCCATATACGTTTTCTTCCAGCCTTCCCAGAGGAAGACCTCGGTAAACATTTACATGCAGAACCTGGCTGTTTCAGACCTCATGTTTGCGAGCACTTTGCCCTTTCGGGCCTCCTATTACCTGCTGGGATCGCATTGGATATTTGGCGATATTGCCTGCAGGATTATGACTTACGCCTTGTACGTCAACATGTATTGCAGCATTTACTTTCTCACCGTGCTCAGCGTGGTTCGTTTCACCGCCATTGTCTACCCGTTCAAGCGCTGGAAAGTAACCAACATGAAGTATGCCAAGATAACCTGCGCAATGATATGGGTCTTTGTTCTGGCAGCCTCCAGCCCTCTGTTTTGCAAACAAATCGCTGGGTACGATAAACAAGAGAAATGCTTGGACCTCCACCCTGGAAGCACAGATATTCTCCTCATGCTGAACAGCGTTGTCCTCGTTGTGGGCTTCACCCTGCCCTTTTGCACGATTATCATCTGCTATGTCTTTGCCATCAGGGCACTGCTCAAGTCCAGGACTCCTCAGCGCAGGAGGACGGTCTCTCACAAGAAGGCACTGTCAACCATCATCATCACTCTCATCCTCTTCCTCCTGTGTTTCCTGCCCTACCACGTACTGCGGACGGTCCACCTGATGCTCGGCAGCTGGAGCCAGAACAACCTGGCCGTGCACAAAGCACTGGTGGTCACGCTCTGCCTTGCTGCCATGAACAGCTGCCTCGACCCTGTGCTCTACTACTTTGCTGCTGAAAATTTCAAAGCAAGAATCAGAAGTTTATACCGCAGGTAGCTGGGGCAGAACTGCAAAATCACACACGCACATTCCTGCTGGAGCATCTAGACTGGGTCCATGCTATTAAATGAAAGAGCCTGCATGACGCTGGCCACACTGTAGCCACGCTGCTCTGTGCCAGGCACCTCTGGACCACAAGTGTCTGGGAAAGACCTCATGGGGTTGGCCAAAACCAAGGCAGGAGCTCTGCAGTGTGTTTGGTCAGAGGTTAGGTGCCTGGGCGTGATCCCTCGTCCTCGTCTGTTGAGCGCTGTAGATGCAGCTCTAGTGTCCACCTTCCCCATGACAAGGGAAGGAAAGGAATGTGCCTTGCTACTAGAGTCCATTTATTTAATTTCACGATACCCAACCAGTGATTTAAAGGGAACACACTCACCTGAGTATCTTAGTGTCTCTTTGCTCTCCATTTCCCTGTGTGTGTAGAGGTGCCTGCCTCAGGTGCTGTGTCACACAACAGCTTCACACTCCCCTGCAAGGTCTCTTTACAAACACTGGCCAAAGGTTTACACATACTAGAAATGTAAAGTATCACTAATACTTTCTGCTGAAGCTGACTTTGTAAATCAGGCAAAGAACCAAATGGGACCCAGTGCTGGCACAGCCTGCTTAGCAGGCATTACCATTTCCAAATTTTCCTCTCTGAGCTGGCCACTGAGGTATTTTGTTTAACATTTCACTGATTATCAAGTGAGATTACGATTTCCAGCAAACAGTGTGGGTACTGGGATGCTATGAATGATGACTATTGGCAGTGAGGGCAAGACATGGGCTGGCATGGAGCTGGAGGGCTGCAGGTTTGGCAGCCCATCCCCATGTAGGGATCCAGAAGCAAACTAAAATTATTTAGGCAATGACGAGTTACTTCTATGCGTACTTTGGGAAAACTCATGAAATGGCTGTCTGCATATTTAAGTCCGTGAACAATTTCTATCATATTTCCTACAAATCAGACCAGTTGCAATGAAGTGAAAACAGGGTCCAAACTCTGACTGCATTGAGATTTCTTTTTAATTGTACCTCATTTTTTGAGTAATAATTAAAACAGCAACAACAACAAAAAATAAAAGGTTTTAAATGGCTTGTCATGTTTCCCAGGAAAGCAACTGTCTCATGAAAACTTGCAGACAAGGCTGAAAGCCTTCTCTTCCTGTGAAATCCTCCCAAAGGAAGGTTTCTGCCAGTGAAAGTGCTTTCTCAATGCTCTAAACCTTGTTGGAGAAAGTTCTTGGTAAACTGAACATCATTACTCGCAAGCAAAAATAACTGCAACTAGCTATTTTCAGCTCTGTCTCAAATTTGCAGAAAATATGTCATTGCTGGTCAGGTGGAAAAGTACTTGACATAGCTTTAAGAAAATCTTGTTTTTCTTGGCTATCTAAGGGTTATGTTCAATTAAAGAGTCAATCTGTTTTAGTCATTTTATGCTGCCTTTGACGTAAGCACAAAGTTTTAACATGAAGTTTTCACCCATGTTCGTTTTCCAAATCCTTATTTCAATAGCTCAGATTGGCTTATGGGTCCAGTGGCACATCTTGAGCTGACCTAATGAAGCCATATGAATTCCTGCAGTGCTGGGTCCCATGCTATTGAAGGAATAAAGAGTAATACATAAGGTCTGCAATGTCAGTGGGATCAAGATGGTAGCCTGTGCAAAAAGATAGTGGGAAAATAATTAGAAGGAAAGTGGGCAACCTCTTTTTTTGTGTGTTTTTCCCCCGTCAGGAGTAAGCCTGAGCAAGGACAATCTTGGACTCTCTGGCAAGATACTGTACGCCTTAAATGCTACAAGGGAATGGAAAATAACTAAAGATGGTTATCTTCAGCCTAATCTCACCAATGTGTTTGTGTCTGTGTGTATCCAAATGCACCTTATTAGTGAATAGTTTTGCATCTAAAAGATAGATATATCTCACTTGTGTCAAAACCGTGATTCAATAAACTAGATTTACTGGGTGCTGAAGTTATGTTTTGTATTGATTGCACAGCTAACAAGGAGTCTCCTTGGAGTGCAGGGGGAGAAAGATGAAGACATGGAGATCGAGTTTGTGTAAGTGGGCTAACATTTCACAAGACAGAAATGTCTTCAGAGGTGTGAGAGCATCCTGTTGTCATCTTCACCAAAGAAATAGTTGGGAACATGAGTCAAAATCCGGGGTATGGATATATTAACGGATTTTTTTAATATTATTTACTTGCAAAAGGATTGAAGATCATCCTTGTTAGAGATCCTGAAGCACAACTTTAGAAATACTTGCATAACATGCCACACTCACATCACTTTACTGCCATTTCTCTATTTGGTACCCTTGTATGTGTCTGCTCACTGAACAGAAGACCATGTAGTAAAAGAAAAAATAATAATAATAATAATAAAAAAGAACGACAACAACAACAAAAAGGAACAAAACCACACACCATGTTTATTATGAAAAATAAAGCTCCTGAGAGTTAAATTCCTAGAAATGCCTTTGGGTTCCTCAAGGGACCACCTACCCTTACAAAGTATTTTGGCACAGTTCCTTAATTTTCCAGGAGACAAAAATCTATAAATAGCTATGTGCCTGAAAAGTTAAACCAATGGTCCAAAAGTTTTGAGCTTGAAAGAGACATAAGTATAGAAATAGAAGTCTTTAAGTGACTGATACCCCTAAACAATTGTAAATGTGTTAGCTTCATATACATGTTTTCCTGTCATTCATGGAAGCCCTGGTATTTCTAGGCAAAGGCAATTTTTCAGTCCAAAGCTACACCAGGGATAAAGAGATTTTCTAAAGTAAATCCTCCTGCATCCTGAACCACTTGACCCTTAGTACAAGGAAATACTTGGAGCAGTGTCACAGTGCATAGGGGAGCATCATGTTGTCGTGGACTACAGACGTGCCTCTGCATTCTGCCTCTTCTGTTTTCCAAATGTGACCCTATGCCCTCCCAAAGGATAATTCTGCTCCTTGCCATTGTATAAAAGATCTTTCTGCATGCATAAAAAAAAATAATAAAAAATGAAAGTGTCACAAATCAGAAGAAAAAAACAATGTTTGGGATAAATATTACTCTTCAACTAGCCAATGGTGAACAAAAGTCTTTCAGGGAAGATTGGTGTGAATTGGAAGAAAATTTTTGAGCAACCTGTTTTTTTTGTTGTTGTTTGGTTTGGTTTGGTTTGTTTCTACTATGGGCTGGAGAACTTTATTATAACCAATGTACTATATATAGTAGTCTAAATTATACCATAAACATTACAAATTATGAATATTATAATAATATATAAAAATAAATGGAATATGTATTTATTGTGTCATATTCAGTATATTTAACATACATAATGCTGCTTTTTATATAAATATATGTAATGTATTATTACAAGCAATGCATTATTTCACATAATTTTCATTTTCATGATATATCCTCTGCCCTCCTCAACACATATACTGTTACCAAGGCTCGTATTTTGCTTGAGCTCCTAAGAGTGTCTGGAGAAAGAGGTACACACTTTGCTTCTTAGCATCCCCTTCCAAGCTTCAACAGCACATCGTCTGTTGGCAGCAGACCAGATGTCATACTTTTTCCCCTGTCTTTGAGCTGCTGCTACTTCTCATGGTCCTTTGGGACGGTCAAGAGAGAAATGACCTGCTGCCCCTTCAGCTGACAGGAGCGGAAATAAGTTCCATCCAAAACAGCCAAGTTTAGTCACAGTCAGGAAGAGTCAGATGTTATTTCATATTAGTCCAGTTGTGTACTAATATTTTTATTTCCTGCATGGTATCTGAGCCAGCTCGAATGACAGCCTCTTTCAAAGGCTTTGTTAAAAATGCAAACTCAAATTCCCTGAGAAAGCCCAGTATCTTTCAAGGTGCTGCAGCTTTCTGGACGGCACTGACCATGACCTGACACACAACATGACTGTCCCCATGTAGCTCTGTAATCCCCTATCTCTCACAACACTTAGCCGTGTATATACAGGAATCTTTCTAGACATCTGCAAATATAAGCAATATATTTAATTGCATGCAGCTGATGTTATGTAGTTACATCTGTTTATCCACTGGTCAAAAGCTTAAGGAAGCCAAAGGAATTAAACAGCTTCCTTTGTCCCAGATTCCCTTTTGGCCTTTCAGAAAATCTGGCCTGATTTCCACCACCACTTCCCCTCCCTTTGATTTTACAGCTGAAAGCACAAAGCTGCCTGAGGCTGGGGCCAAAGCCTGGTCGCTCAAGTCACATTCCTGCTCACATGAGCAAAATTAGAGCCTTCATTTCTGAAGCTGAGAAATAAAGCTCTGCACTTCAGTGTCTACCACCTGTATCACCTTATGTAGGCCTCGAATGCTGGGGCTGGTAGTGGGCAGATTGACTCGTCGGATTGGGTGTCCCAATTTCCAGACATGGAGCAAACACGTTTGCTGGTGCTATGCCTTCCTCTGAGCAGCCATGGCATGTGAACAGGGGAAGGTTCACTCACAGTGGAGCTATGTTTCATGGTGTACACAGTGTTTGTAAAGGAAATCCCCCGGGGTAGGGGATCTGCACTTGGTGCAGATGTTTTTTTACCTTATTGCCAGCTTTCTGCTGCTGGAAGTAATTTCTGTTGACCTCCCACCGCAAGTCTCCATATCTGTTTTTGAGGGCTTTGTTTCAAATGTTGACATATAGAAGTTGATAACAAAGCCCACGAAGGTGGGGCTGAGCCCTGCCCATGAAAACCACTGCCGTCTCATTCGTCAGCCTTCTGATGTGGTTATGGCCTGATCATGAAATGCTTCTGTTGCAAAGCACGTGGAAGCAGGGAGCCTGGCCATCCCTGGCAGGCTGGCTCCAGGCCCTGCTGAGGCTTAGCCCAACAAGCACTCCACAGCAGAGAAAGCCTTGCTTGTGCTCAGTTTCTCTTTGCAACTAGTCCCTTGCCAGAGTTTCAGGAAAAAAAAATATATTTTAAGGGTGCTTTGCTCATTGCTGAGGTACTGCTTGCATGCTATGTATTAGCTTTCTTTCTTGGCAGCTACAAGGACAAACCCAGAGAGAATGGGAAAAATGATCCAGCCCAAGAGTCGTCATACATCTTCTGAAGGCCTTTATTACTCCAGTTGGAGTTGTCTCTTCTGGTGGTCCCTCACCACTAGAAGACAAGATTTAAACCCAAGTCAGAAATATGAACATGCTCTAAAAACAGTACTATCTCATTGATTATTTTTTTCTTTCTTCTTTTTCTTTTTTCCTTTTTTTTTTTTTCTTTTTTTTTCTTTCTTTTTTCTCTTCTTCATTTTGAATCTCACTGAACTTTGCTGTTGAAGACGTTGAACCTAGCCAGTCTGCATGGCACTAGGTTTGTACTGATGGTAAGTATGGAGAATTCCCTATATAAAATTGATAGCAGCAGAACAGGCAAGTGCAGCTCCTCCAGAAGGTGGAGGAGGTGTGTGGAGAACACAGCTCAGTGCTGCTACACCAGCCCTTCACAGGTGCACACTCACTTGGGCAGCCTGTGGTCCCGGGTTTGGAGCACACACTACAAGCTTGCAAGGAGCAGGATGAACTCAAGGTCTATGAGCATGGCCTGCGGTGCCTTTTGCTATTTTCTGACTATCTGATCTAAAGCTTGAGTGCCCTGTCTTTCAGGGGGGGTCCTGCAGACTTGACTCACAGTCAGCAAAACTCAGCACCACACAAGCACATGATGTGGGCAGCCAGCCTGTCAGTAGGGACAAGAAGTTCTTCTTGGGATTGTGCTATGGGAGATGATAAATGTAAAAAAGACAGGCTTTCCTCAGATACCAGTTCCACTCATGCACTTTGCACTTGGCAAGAAGTAAGAAGTGTTACTGTTGTCTCCCCCTAAATTACCTGGGGTGTCCCAAAGCTATGGACAATGAGCAACATGCTGAGGCAAAGACAGGCAGCATTTAAATGAGCCTTTCCAAACACCACTCCCCAAGTAAGACCTTTTCCCCAGAACCAGCCAGCAGTAAATACCTTTAAAAAACACTGAATCTCCTCATGAAAGCCTTTACACGATCATGTACGATCATTTTAGTTCAGCTTCTGAACCAAAAGAGCGCACACAGCTTCTCATCTAACCAAGCCAGTGACATCAATGTAGAGACACACACCTATAAAAGGGAACTCCCAAACCAAAATATCCCCTCTCTCATGTCTCTCTTTGGCCAGTACACCTTGCTGTTTCTACCCACACAGTTTGTATGCCATCTAACCACCGAGCTGATGAGATGGCATAGCTTTGGAGACCAACCAGGACATTGGCAGAGGGTCTATACCTGGTCAGAAGAGAAGGGGTAAGGATGGCCAGCACTCCTGTACCCCTGGGCAGCTTGTAGGGCCAAGGATACCCTGACATCTGCCTGTCTCTCCTGCCCCACCCCAAAAAATGCGCATGACACTGTCAGCCCAATGGATGGGGAACCAGAGGGAACTCTTTTAGCTAAGCATAGGCTAAAACTGACTTTAGGGTGCATCCAGCTTCAAGTTTCATAGGGAACCAGGGGTCACAGCGGCAAAGAGAAACCAACAGTAAGGGGAATGGTGCCAAAGACTTTCTCAGAAAACATCAAGTAGAAGCAAGGAACTTATGAAACCTCTGCCAGGAATAGCTTGTCATGGCATGGCGATATCTCCATTTCAGAAATTCACTTAGTTTGAACTGATCTTCCAGGAATGAACCTTTAAAGTCACACAGGTGACTATCCCAAGTTGCTTGGACTGTGCCTCATAGCTGAGAACTTTCTTAAATTTTCAGTACATTTAAAGATGCTTATTTTTGGTTTGTAATGGGCATTTGGTTTGTAATGGGCATTTTCATAGCCATCACATGGTCCCATAATATACTCGCCTTTGGAGCGCGTTCATATTCCTAATTTTTCGGTACACATTTATTTGGTTACTCATGCAGACACACTCACACTCTCACATTTATTTTTTGTATATTTATATATTTAGATACTTATATACATGCCCATAGATATTAATTTGTGAAGTCAGTTAATAAGTGTTTGATAATCAGTGCCAAGCTTTTCAAGGTGAATGTCTTTTATAACCATATTTCATTAATATTCCAGTAACAGATTTTACCAAAATAAAAGATTCAGAACTATCCATCCCTCCCTCCTCTACCACCAAATTACAATGCAGATCTGATGTACACAAGAGTGAAACTTTGTTCATTAAGTGGTGTATTGGCATTCGTGGTGCACTGTGAAACCCTTTCCTCTCTGGGGATAAAAAAAACAACAGAACCACCCTAAACTTTTTGTCCAACATTTTGCTAAATTTTGCTCAACATCCTTATTATGAGAGAATTTCTGCTTCCAACATGACTGTAAGCCCCACTTTGGCCTGAGGTGATATGTAAAACCCTCAACATGCTCTCTTCTTTTTTAAGAAGTTGACAAGCCGTCTATTTTTCACACGCATGAAAACCATGTAGAAAAGATTTCAAAAATCTCTACTGACAGCTGTGAAATAAAGAGCAGACTTGTGGCCTGACACTGGTGTAGTATTTCTTGCCCTATGGTGTGCAAACTGCTGGGATCCATGGATCCTTCCAAGAGACTACAGTATGTAATGAAAACAAGCAAATCTGCTGTCACTCAGATTAAATGTGCTATTGAGGGGGGGATTACACATCCAGAAGGAATCAGAAAGTTGTCATGAAACATCATTACAACATATGGACATCACAACCCAAAATGCAGATGTCTGTGTTCCCTGCATGTACCACCAGCATGAGTAAGCAAGAGCATAAAAGCAGCAAGGCTGGACATTAGATTTTGAGAAGTTTTGTGCAAGCTCCATTGGATAGTGCTGCATTCTGGCTGGGTTCCCAAGTGCTTCAACATATGCAAAGAAGAAAGGGAGATCTAGCAAAAAAAAATCAAACCCTTCAAAACAGCACTGAAGAAAGTAAAGGGATTCTTTTAAAACATTTAGGACTTTTTACCTAAAACCTCCCTCTCTCTCTCCCATCAAGA